CAGGGAGGCTGGTTGAATTAAAATACGTTGTCTAATCAATTTTTCGACGACAATTATGTTGTATACAGAAAGGATCGTTCCCCGACCAACAGTGACAAGCGCTCTGGTGGTGGCGTTTTGTTAGCAATCCGTTCTATCATCAATTCGCGTCAGGTCTTTCCTCCAGGTAATTCCACTATTGAGCAACTCTGGGTTGCAGCATCTCTGTCCGGCGTGAGCACTTTCATCTGTGTTATCTACCTACCTTCTGACCGCGTCAATGATGTCGAACTTATAGAAACGCATATCAACTCAATTAACTGGGTTGTCTCTCAGATGAGCGCTTGGGATAACATCATCCTTATCGGCGACTTCAACCTCCATGGCATCACTTGGCAGTTTAACCCCAATGGGTTCTTCTATCCTACCGTGCGTGGTAGCTGGTGAGCTAAATGCTCGCCATACACTATGGCGTAACCATGTCTGCAATATAAATGGCATAATCTTGGCAGACCACCTCAGCTTTGGAACGTGCATAATCCACATTCCAGATGAGCCAACGTTCTTGTCACCGGCGGGAGCGACAAGAACCCTTGACGTGTTCCTATCGGACTTGGATCTATCGAAGCCCGTTACTCTCTGAGATCTGACCACTTTCGTTAAGCTCTGACCACTTTCCGGTGGTATGCGAGCTTGAATGCACACCAACTCCTGCGCCTGCCAAAAATGAGACGGGATTACCATCGAGTCAACTGGGTGGCCTTCAGTGGCATTGGGGACACCCACCTTACAGCTAATCCAGCTCTACCAACAATTGTAAGTATCTACAACCATCTGACGGTGTTCGAGGAAGCCATCCAATCCAACCCCCAGAATAAGCAATCCACGCCGCAAAAGAAACCTTTATACGCTGTATTCCGGTGAGGCGACAATTCACTACGATTGACCTCTACACCCGGCAACTAATTCAGCAACGCAACACTACCAGACGGCAGTTTATGGCTGTTCTGAAGCCATCGCCATCAAACTTGTTCTGGCACATCATATCGGTGCCAGTATGGTCAGCTCTCACGAAGATGCGGTACAGAGAACAATTAATCAACTTGAATAGCAAATCTACGATGTCCCTTCTGTTACGATGTAAACAAATTCTGCTTATTTCTTGCACTTGTTCAGTTAAATTAACAAACCAGAGAAACATTAGCTTTGAGTGCCGAAGAATTAGTACAATTTTGTCATCAGTACGCTCGTACGCACGCATCGACCAACAGCCAAGTCAAAATACTCCACCGCAAAAGGCCTTTTGCAAGGCGACGCTGCAAACGAACGCAACGAGAGAGCGAAAAGATTGCACTCACACGGACGCATCAAACAGACAAAAGCGAGCAAGGGCAGCAGCGAGATCGGATGCTTTTGCTTCGTCATTCTTATTCTCCAGTGTACGGTGGATTCACGCGCTTGGTGTGCTTTGTGAAAAGTGACGGGAAGTTGACCAGCAGCCATACTCGTAGAAGAGCTAGTCTGGCGTTTTGGATTTCGGCTTACGGGGAAGCAACACGTTTCGTAGGAACGAGCGAAAGAACCGTCAAGGGACTAGGCCAAACGTTGGAAAGCACACGACACAGTCAATCTTGCTTTAAGATCAGTTCGGCCAGAGGAAAAACGACCGGTGACTCGGATTGCAACGTGGGTGGTGGCAACCCGTTCCACAGGTGAGTTCCACACAAATTCCACTTCCACCTGCTCAGCAGTAACGTTGCGGTACATTCCATAGAGGCAAGCGGAAGTACCGTCACCGGACGAAGTCAAACGATCGGTGTTCTACCAACCGCACTTGGAGGAATTGCACGACAGCCGAACACGCCAAGAACGGACTCGAAGCGCACACGTGTGGAAGCAGTACGATCCGAACGCACCAAAGCATCGTCACTGGACGAAATCATACGACCGACATTACCCGTGTTAGATCGCCGGCTAGCAGCCTTGCTTGGTGGTCACAACCAGAAAGGCTACACGGACACACAAAGAAGACCCCATCAAAGGGTAAGCATCATCGATCTGGACGGCCAGTTGTCAGGAACTAATCAGCTGTTCCATCGCAGGGTCTTATTGTAGCATTCTCAGGTAGAGACGAGTTTCAAGGGCCCGCAGACGTCGTCGGCCAACATCGCCGAAGCAGGGAGTCAACTGCTCGCCAAGGCGGTGATTGACGGAAGCAGAGTGCTCATTGGGTTCCATAGGCAAGCGCCAACTTCGCGTGGCCGCCCGGACGGCGTAGCCAGGAAGCACCCACGTGCGGCAGGAAGACTTGGCCGGTGCCAGTAGGAGCAGGCCGACAAGTGAACGAGCGTCGACGGGATGCTTGATCGGGCGACATTCTTGGTCGGTCGATGACGTAGCCGAAAGAACAACGAGTCATGGGTCCGTGTGCGTGAGTAGACGTATTTAGCCATTAAGCAAACCCAAAATCTGTTAGTCGAATAAGCACAAGGGAACCAGATAGGAGAATGATTTAGACTCTGGAATGCCCGTCTGGGAAGGCACGATGAGAATATAGCAATGATTCGCAAGTAAATTGAATGGTTTAGTTTGTTTCTTTGGTTGGAGCTTAGCCCTCCAGTGATTGTCACTTTCGCCAATGGTAGTCCGCTCTTCTGGCTAGCAGGATGAATGCAACACTTCCGCTGGCCGAGTTTCGTCCTGCTGCCGTGAAGTAACATTTTCAACCTGGCCCTGAAGAAGCTGTCCAGCAAAGCTGCAATTTTCACGACATGCTTCCAGCTCAACCACTTCCCGACCAGGTGGAAGACAAGGAAAATTGTTCCCAATCTGAAGCCTGGGAAGGATCGCACTCTGCCGAGCATCTACAGACCTATCACACGGCGGTGAGCAACATTTCCGAGCGACTCATCCTTCAACGACTGATGGAGCACATCAAAGACCACCAAGTCATCATAGCAGAGCAGTTCGGCTTGAGGAAAGGACATTCCATCGCCCAAGATAATTGTTAATTGTGGTTTTATGAGGGCTCTGTAGACCATGAATTAGACTTGTAGAATGCTATAAAACCTCTATAAAGCTTGCAATGTTACTTGGGCGTCCATCAGCTGGTCCGAATGGAAAATATTATTAAACGAAACAAATTATTTTCCAACAACACTGCCATGGGCACGACGGATTAATCCACAAACTAGTGCATGCAAACTGTTCTGTATACCTGGTCAGGATGATAAGGAGCTACCTAAGCGAACGACGTGAGATTCCAGTGGGACTGCCACAAGGCAACTTGCTGGTGCTAATGTTGTACTGCATTTTCACATTGGATATACCACAACTCCCCAACAGCTGAAGCTTGGCGTTATATGCGGATGACAGTGCAATAATAACAAATGGACAAATTTCTAAGGATTAGCGAGCCCGGTTGCAGCGAGGACTCACACTGTTGTACAAAGTACAACGCGCGAGTACTCGTGTTACAAAAGTTGGCGCGAGTAACGGAGGGTTAATTTAAGTTAGGGGTTGTTCATTAACTACGTAGTTTTTTTTTATTCTTGCAAACAACCCCACCCCTTCCCCTGCGTAGACAATTGTCCATACATAAATTTTAAAACTTGTATGGGCCACGGATAATTGACAACCCCCCTACACTATCTACGTAGTTAATGAACAGTCCCTTAGTCATTGCGGTTATTTAAAAACAATTTTTTATAAAGACTGATTTTTTAGATTTATACATCATTTGAAAATATTTTTAGAAAGATTAAAACGTTTTTTTTTTCGGGGCGGTAAGTTTCTTATTAACCTTCCTAGTTCATGGGGGTAATGTTTAGTCTGGAAACACTATGTAAATTTTTCCTAATGCATTAGAAAGTTAATGTCTGTATCAATTTGTTTTTCCCAATGTTTGTAAAAATGTATGCATTCTGTATGAAGCCTGTATGATGCTTGATCAAACGTCTGTATAAATACAGATACAGTCAACTACACCTCGATGTCCAATAACTCGATATCGAGTTATAGAGCCATAGTCAAAATGGATTTCATGGCTATTGTGATAGCGATTTTGTTATTCCATAACTCGATATTTCTATTCGATGGTCCCTTCAATATCGAGTTGTAGAGAGTTTACTGTATGTTCGTATATCTGGCATCCCTGATTAGAAGCAGATTTTCCCACGATTTCCAGATACTTGGCCTTCTTTAATCGTTCAGTTATTTTCCCATTTGTAGGGTTACGGGATATTATTGGGGATTGAAGGAAATTGTCCCATGTTTTTCTACGCGAACGAGATTATACGTTGCAAAATCAGTACACATGTGCTTCAAACTTGAGCTTAAGCGATAGCCTCCGAATTCCATCCCGTAACCCTATTTCCTCACTTTTCTACGTTTTTCCCTCTTATATGGCTTCTTACGAATGTACCGCGAAGAAACCCTACAGCTCCCTGGAGAAGAAATCACCCACCCTCGAAAGGATAATGAAACGACAATGGAAGCAACAGCACGATTGTAAAACAAAACACACGCAAAGCGACATTTTCTCATGTGTGATAATCAATGGTTGCTCCGATATTCGGGGGAATTGAAATACACGTCTTCCTCGTTAACCGCCAACTGCGATGAAGAAACAACAGTAAGGAAAAACTCTATACCCCGTCCGCTCCGCACCAACAACGGGAGAAATCGGTAATGTAATGCATTCCCACCCGGTCCTCGCTCGTTCCACCCTTTGTGTACGTCGGTATATTTGTAGGTACATGTGTACTTATGCGGGAAAAAGGCGGCGTATATCGATTTTCTTTTCGGCTGTCTGTTGAAACTTTGCTTACAACAGGACCGCAGGAGCAGTTGCTTGGAAACTTCTGAGAAAATTCTCTACATTCGCGGAATAGATGACATAGAATGCCGAGTAGAATTCCAGATCACGAGGACTTTTTTCTTCATTAAATTCAATGTAATTTGCAATCCAAGTAGACTGAAAAGTTTTCCCCCGCCACGAGGTGTTATAACATGTAAAGTACCTTTGTGTCCCGCCGACGTCGATGACGTTAGTTTCCACTCGCTAGTTCACTGCCCGCTTTTATCGATCCGGTTCGGGAGAATTTTCCCCACAAGAACAATTCACTTCAAACAAACGGTTTCCTATTTCTTCCAAGAATTAAGTAACACAATCCAACAAGCAAAAATTCCTTCACCAAAAAATTCTGACAACCGGAACGCCAAACACGGAGAATACGGTCCACGGCGACTACCCTAAGGAACGGATTTACTAAGACTGAAGAAGAGAAGCTGTCTGCCAAAAC